CATGGGGAGAGTGGCTTGATACCAGATTTAATAAAAATCTGTGCTTTGTTTATACATGGCAAAGTAACAGATTTGCTGCTTCGAAGGGGAATACTAAAGCAAACCTGATGGTTTGCCCTGCATGGGGACTGCATGGGTACAAGTCTCAGCAATAGTTAAAGAATTTCATGCAAGTAAGTAATTATAATATTTGACTTTTTCTGCTGCAAATCCTGTTTTACAACTGACTGGCCTTACAAGTCCACCTTCTGAGATTAGAATATACACTTCCTGAATACAATATCCTGTGCCTGCCCCTTGTGAATAGTTGATGATGAGTAGTCCCTTGTGGGATGGACACTGTTCACTAAGAACACCCACTCCCTGCATCGCTAATGTCTGAACAAAATCTAGTATAGTTTCTAATAGAAAAACTGTTCAGATCTATAAGTAATAATCCATGTGTACGTTTCTAAAACTGGGAGAACTGATTATATCACAGAGGTAGCCTTCTGAACTTGACATCCATAACAGCATATTATCTTTGCATGTCCTACTTTAAGATCATTGGGATTCAGAAGACCTACAGAGATATCATCTGCTGTGGAGGTGCAATGGATTTAAATATGGCAATGAAGCTGAATGATTTACCAATTAATAAACGTCATTTTAGATTGTAAGCCCTCACGGGCAGGGCCCTCCTTTCCATCTTGTCTTGGATTGTATTGTGATTGTAATGTCTTCCTTATATTGTAAAGCGCTGCGCAAACTGTTGGCGCTATATAAATCCTGTATAATAATAATAATAATAATAATGATACCGTTCTCTCCTGCCAATGTGGTAGCTGGATGTATTATTCTAGAGCTAGTTAATTTCTAACCTTATAAGGAGATTCATGGTTACAGTAAAGGTTCTAGAATTAACCTTGTGCTCAGACTCATTTGGTTTCTCCTGTGGAGCTTTGTTTTACTTTTAGTACATTCAGTGTACAGAGTTAGGTGTGGATATCTGTTTAGTAACAGGGAGCTTTAGTCTTAATGTCCAGGTATTGAGACAATATACGTCATAAAAACTACATTTGCATATCAGTGTGTTTTGGCTGTTTAAAAAATCTTGCAAATTATCTGTGAAGTTTTCATTCATGCAGGTCAAAGTATAGGAAGAAGTAGTTAGTCACATTTAGCTGGGCATGTGTTGTAATTTTAAAAACATTTTACCACTCATCCAAGTGGCTTCCCTATTTAACCTCTTGCCATCCGCCCGTTAAGAAAAAACGGACGGACGGCTGACTCCTATCTGCGGGTTGCCGTCGCCAGACGGCATTTTTTTCCTTCTCGCGCGCGCCCCCTAGCGCGCGCACGTGCAAGCCAGGAATTTATCTCAGCATCTATAGACACAAGGGACAACATTTCCTTAAAGTGACACTAAACTCAGGAGATACATTTGAAAAATGCATTCAAGTACCTTAACTATTAACAATATATTGTACATTATGGGGTCTATTCACAAAGCTGCCGAAGGATCTGGCCGTAGCTTCGATCTCACCCCCTGGATGGACTACTATCTCGCATTTAGTTTGCTAACTTGTACTGCAATTGTAGCCCATCACAGGAGCAAGCTTGGAGCGGTGACAACTTTACAACACACACAGGTACCAAAGTAGCCACCCTCCAGAAGGAAGGACAGTGTCAGCACCAATTCAGAGATGATTTGAGGATCTACAGTTTGAGTGATGCACAAAAAATATACATTTTTGTTTATAGTTAGCGTACTTAACTAAATTTTAAAAATGCATTTTTAAAATGTAACTCCTGAGTTTAGAGTTACTCTTGAGTTTAGTGTATATATATTTTAAGTATATTTCAGTTTTGAAGCCAAATTGGGATAGCACCTATTTTTATATGTTCCCATTCACATTGCATAACTTAAAAAATATCTAAAAATTGCCGCTTAAATGTTTAAGTGTTTTTTTACTTGCTTAAAAATCCTACTTAGCTTCCCCTTATGTAAGGATAAGGAGGGGTGCTGTAAGTTATGTTTTTTTCTATTTAGCCCTGTCTGTACTGTGCTGGCAGCTCTTATTAGCTTTAAGCTAGATTTGAACACTGCCTATCCTAACAAAGGTTTAAAGACGAATGTATGTTAATGAGAGGTCTGTCCCTCAGTTTGTCTCTCTACTTCTACTTTCAAACTGCTCAGGGTAGCCTGGAATCTGCACAAAGGTCTTCACTAAACAAACAGCTAAAAGGTAAGAAATATATATCTTTTAATGATTTTTCGGTATCCTGTGTGAATGGAAACACATAACAAACATACAGAGCAAGGGATAGTTTTTTTTAAAAGTGAAGTAACATACAATGGGGGGGGGGGGGGGGTTATTAAAACTGGAGCAGACACAATCTGGAGAAGCTGTGCATGGCAAACCAATCAGTTTCTCTCTTCACTTTGTTCAGTTAAGATTTGAAAATACAACTGATAGGCTAATTGGTTGCCATGCACGGCTACTCCAGATTTTGTCTGCTCCAGTTTTTATAAATTCCCTTCAATGACTTGAGATCTCTAGCTGTTTGTTTGAACAGACAGCCCAGCACATCTAGTTTACAAGTGATAATATGAGATCTGCCAGCACAGTACAGAGTTAAGTACGACAATTTCCAAGCCCCCTCATAAACAGGGAGAACTAAAAAGGATTTTATAGTCCTGGAGTTTTCATCAAAGATGCTCTAAAAAGTTACGCGGCAATTTTAAATACAATTTTTTTAAGTTATGCAACGTAAATGGGAAGATGTAACAAACACAAAATAGGTGTCACTAGCATCCTGGTTTAAACAAGCAATCTAAAGGCCTGAGAAAACAAAAAATTTATTAAATCATTTATTAGCCTTTTATGACATTTCTATTTAATAGGCAGAGTTGTCTGCAATAAGAACATATGTATAATGTGTAAAGAAGACATTCACATGGTTATGGGGCATCTGTGTCATTAAATAGCAATGTTGGAATCTTCCAGCTAAATTTCACCCTTGTCTCACATCAACCAGTCACAGGGTGTACAAAAATTACTGAGACATAACAATGAACCAAGAAGCCTGTGGAACTTCCAAATCACAAAGCGCGTAGGCTCCTCTAGCAGGACAGAAAATGAAAGCCGTTTTACTAAACAGAATTTGTGATGCTTTGTAACATTCGGGGGAAAATCACATGAGAGACGAGGCTCTAGGGGAAGGCTTCCTTATCATTTCTATGGAGCAGGGAGGGAATGATTAATCCCATTCCAGCTGGAGGGGTTCATGTGAACTAAAAAAGGTTATATTACATAGTCTGATTGGTTGGTAGTGAATCTTCTTTCTGATACAAATGAATTCTTAGATGAGATTTTGCATATGTTACTAGAGCCATTAACACTATAACACACATGTCCAGAGGAGGAAAGTATAAGCAATCTCAGGCAGTACAGACAGAGCATAAAGAGCTTTACATTTAGTATTCCATCTTCCTCGGATGTGCCAAACCTTCAGGCAGTTCCACAATTGTGAACTATGTAGTTTGGAATAAATGGCTCTATAACATTAGGCTATATTTTCATTATACACCACCGCCTATGTATGGTGGGTACAAGGTACATAGAAAAATAGGATTTTTGTACTCACCGTAAAATCCTTTTCTCTCCGTTTATTGAAGGACACAGGGCAACAGATCGTAGATCCTGAACTGTCCGACTGGACCCGGACCGCCAGGCCCTGAAACCGGGTCGACCAATGAAGGAGAGATAGGCGAATCACCCGAAGTTCCAACACATTTATCGACAGACGGGACTCCTCCGGCGACCAACGACCCTGCACGGTCCAAATTGTTTTCCATGTCCTCTGTTCCAACCATACATTGTGCAAGGGTGTGCCAAAATACTCAGTTCAACGGACATGGTGTGAACAAGGGCTCAGTAATAAATGTAGAATGGGGGAAACTAAAGAGCTTGGGACTTGCTGAAAAATAGGAGAAGCCGGCTGTTTTTTCAGCTAACATCTACCCATAACTGATGTAACAATTTGCATTGACTCTTCAAGTGTAAAGTATAATGAATCATAACAATTACACTTCAATTCTGATTCATCAAGCTGTGATGAATGTATAATGCTTTTATATAAATGTTCTCTTTGTTTTGTTCTGGATTAAAATGTTACATGTATATATATATATATATAATTTTTAGTAATGTTCATTGTATAAATGATGTATTATTGATGCACTCTATAAACCTGATAATTGTAACTTTTAAGATATAACACAAATGTGATTTGCAGATGTGTTGATGATCATTTATTAACCACTTTGGGTGTAGTCTTATGCTCTGCAAACTCTTAACTCACACTATAACTGGCCATACACTTAGAATTTCATTTGAACATTAGTTCGAAATCGTTCGTCAAAGCATTCAATTTTGCCAACATTAAGTCAATCAACTTAATTTGAAAGCTCTTAAAGTTTTGTCCAGACCTGCTTTATGAATAGAATCATAGACGTAGGAAACAGTTTTTTTTTTTCTGCCTAGAACATGCACATTGCAATATGTATTGTTTTTCCCGAACGGAAATCACATTCACACTTAGAATTTAGTTCAGGTAAGAAAACATCAGATTTTCACATTTCCATCTTGCTCCTTTGATTTTCCTTGTTACTATGGTTGAAAATGAATGTCAATTAGACTCCACTAGTTATTAGAAAACTGAAGAAACGTTCAGAATGAAAATTTCTACTGGTGTATGGCCAACATAAGTATGACAAAGCATGGACAGGGTATGGCAAGCTCCAGGATGGCAAGTCACAGAATGGCCCTGTGACAAGTGTGAGGTTTAGATTAATAAAGGCCCCTTTGCAATCAATAATAGATATTTTTTTATTTAGGTGTATTCAGACAGTAATATACTGTGTACAAGTGTTTTACTCATTTACCCATCTGTAGAACTGATTTGCTATCCACACACTGCATACAAAGGCACAAGACCCTGTGCTGGGGACTTACTGTTAGGTGCTCTGCTCTGATCACCTTGGATGCTCTCGGTGGACTGATTGCTGGACAGTGATGACACACTGGAACTCCGTACAAATCCAAAGGCTGCGAGTTTAGCTGCTGGCAGTCTGGAGTAGCTGGGTGGACGGAGGGCAGTCTGGCAAGGCTTTGGGAGACTTGACTTTGCTCCATTTGTGATAGAACCTTTTTTAAGTTCCTCTGTGTAAAAAAAAGAAAACATCATAAGTAAAAAAAATAGTTTTTTTTACTTTGGAGCAAATCTGAAGTACAAGTGATTAATAGATCACAGAGGATTAGAACATTTTTGTTCCTTACAGCGAGTTCATACTTTAGGGCTAAGCAGCTAAATAAGGGTGCATGCACCCAGGAAATTCTTGTCTATGATCACCCTATGATTGATCTCAGCACACAGGGCACACTATCTCAGCCATTTCCTGTTCTGTCTCTTCCCTCCTGGGTTTCTGCCCTGTGAGAATGTCAGTGTGATCAGTCTTTCCTAGGCCTTGGGCCTAGGCATATGGAAGGATGCAGCAATCTCCCCTCCTGGGAGGAACCCTGAAGGTGATGGCTGCTGGAAGACAAGAGCATATGGCCTAGAAGAAACAAACTACTTCTGTCCCCCACATATGGAGTGTGAGTTATGGTTGAGTGGGAATTTATACACAAGAACCTGCTTATGTGTGCCTGCCTTGGAATTGAAGTTTGAGACACCACTAGAACCTCAATGGCCATGGATCCTGAGCTCTGATAATAACCAGCCAGCACAGTCTGTGATAGAAGGATAACAGCCAGAGACTGTAACGTAAGGTCCAGAAGAGATGGAGGCCTCGTCTAGAGAATGAGATCCAGTGTACTGTGGGATATCCAAATCCGCACCTCACACTTCTTCCCATACAGCCCTGTGCAATAAAACCTCTTTCTATTTTAAATATACTAAAGTGACTGGCAGCCATCATTCTGACCAACCAGAGAAAGGAACCACAACTGAGGTGAGTGCGTCTGGTACTTTTCTGCAAGCAGATGCATTCTTTAATGTAGCTATTACGTAGTTATAGAGCCATATCTCTTTAAGTTATGTCTGATAATCACATCTAAGTATTGCTAAGATGCAATATATTCAGTTTGTGATCTCGGGTTTAGATACACTTATAGAAAAATCCTGTTGCTTTCATAGTGGAGTGGCTAAAGCTCTAATTATACGTGCAGCTGGTCCGAATGACACACTGCCTCCGACCTCTTCCTACCATGTGGCCATATGGAGATTCAGATAGAGAAAGACGCTCAAAAGGTGAATAGCTACTGCTTTGCGCTCTTGTTAGAAAATCTAGAATGCTTTACAAAACGAACATCATGGGGGCATCATGGATTAAATGATAACAATATATCGAAGATCAGTTTAAATTTATAAACATTAGAATAAAATTGTTTTAAAATGATTGCAGTTTCCATTTAAATGGCTCATTGCTAATCATCTCAGTACAAGCGGCTTACCCATAAATTATTCTGCTAATCATTTATCATATAGGTTTAGGAGTAAACCTGTACAATCCTGGAAATTCAACCTAGGCATAGGATATAGGGGTACATAAGCAGAGCTTACCTCCAAGGAAAACTACATAATAGAGTGTTCAATGATCCAAAGATATTGGCAGTTGAGGTTATATGAAGATCTTGACTTTTTCTGCAAAATGTTACTACTATTCTACTCTTCTTTGTGTAGACTTTCACTGTAGGTAACCTCTACTTAACCATTATTTTCTCATATGCTCATATACTTTAAGCAGAAAATGCTTTTCAAAATTACCTGAAAGGAGAGCTCCAGGAAGAAATTGTATTAACCATTGCAGTGAGGATACCCCCGTATTGCAAGGGTTAAATGCTCATTTTTGCCTAGGTTTAAAAAAAAAAGTTATACTCACCTGATCCTCCGAGATGGCCAACTCTTAGACCAGTCCCTGGAGCATCTCTTCCCCTTCGCTGCAGCGGAATCTAGGAATCCTCGAGTCATCAAAAACAATACAGTGTATGAGGACGCTGAGGCGTAGGAGGAGACAGGTTGGAGGCGAAGGCGATGCCGGCTCCAAGGATGGGGTGAGTATAACTTAAATTTTTACCCTAGCCAAAAATGCTTAAAGCAGTTGACTCTTGCAGTGGAGGATTAGCCCACTGCAAGGGTTAATCAAATTTATGCCCGGAGTTTAAATATGATTTTCCTTCGCTGCCAAGCCCTCCGGAACATTTTTCAAATCAGCTGGCCAAGCCATTTTTGAATTTTCTGCAATTTTTTTCTATTGGTTTGATTTTCAACTGCTGCATTGCTAGCGTTTGTAAAAGACCCCCCAAACCATATATTTTCTGAAAGCGCAGGCCCGGTAGAATAAAAAGATGGTGATACTAAATTTGTAGGCCCTGCGATAATTGCGCAAATGTTTCTCAAATTAATATTAAACCGATAAAAATACACAATTCAATTGTTAAAGACCCAATCAAACATTTGTTATCTACACCTGGCCATGATATATGTTTACTCTCTATAGTTCCCACTGTTCACATGTGTTCAAATATTTATGCCAGTGTATTGTTTGATTCCTGTACTGCCCTGCCTCAGACATATGTACGTTTACACACTACAGCGCAAATGTGTTTAGGCGTTCTGCTACCATTGATGATTTTATGCCACTAAGGCCTCTTTCACACAGGCGGTCCGATCGGGTCCACCTGTCAGCTTTCCAGGCAGACCCGATCAGATGCCCAATGTACATCTATGGGCGGTAGGGTCTAAACTGACGGGCATCTCTTTACACCCGGTTACCGCTGACTCTGGCCAGGTCTGGAAAAATAAATGGAATAGTTTTCCCTTTTGGCAGACCTGATTGTGCTGGATCGGGGGCAATCTGAAGTAAACAGACACATGGGTCTTACATTCGATTCCTCATAGACCGACATGGTGTCTGACCATATCATTTTTTCCTCCATCGCAAGAAGGGGGAAAAAAATGGACGGACATGGATGTCATAAAGGTAACATCTGATCTGTACCACTCCAATCAGGAGAAGATCTGTGCACCTTGCTTGTCCCTGTTCTGCTTGTCAAGTGTCCCTGTACTTTACGCTCACTGCAGCCTCACCCACATGTAATAGGTAAGTGGGAAAGATTACTGGAGAATCTTGTATGAAAATGTTATTGTTCTTTTTTTTAACTGACTTCTTAAAGTGACATTAAACCCTGAGATTTTTTAACATAAACCAATACTGTAATGTGCGCCTTACTGTAATCCATGGTAGTTTCCCTTCTCTTTGCTGCTCTTCCTTTTAAATCATTATCTCTTCTCATGCTGGGGGAGAACTTCCCTTTGCAGCTGAGTGCCTCTTCCTGTAGTGCTGGCTCAGGTTGTGAACCTTCACACAGACTCCATGTATCCATTCCAGAGACAAGGCAGTCTGCTGCAAAACAGAAGTTCTGCCCAGCATGAGAAGAGATACGGATTTAAAAGGAAGAGCAGCAAAGAGAAGGGAAACAACCATGGATTACAGTAAGGCACACATTACACTATTGTTTTATGTTAAAAAATCTGGGGGTTTAATGTCACTTTAAGCTGACTTTCCTTGAAGTTAAAGTTTAATCTGCTTATATTTTGCCGTCTCTGGTTTCTCCTTCCCACCTTCATCAACACGCTAATAATTATTTTTGAAAGAAAACCATTCTATTTTAATCATAAACCATGTTTTAGACCCATTGATGTGATCACTAGGTCCCTGTGCTTTTCTATACAATGCTTAAGATCATGGCTGGTGGGAGGGGCTGGAGTATGCTGTACATACAATAACTTCCTGAAAATGTACACAGCATAGAACCCTGCTTCTATACTACTCTCAAAGCCCATCAGCCCTGATGCATGCAGTTTGATTGTTTCTGGGAGGAGTAATGGAAATATATAAATGCCTTGTTGGGATGTCAGTCTGGAGGAATGGGAGTTCCTAGGTGGGCTGCATTTGCATTCAGGCAGACCCCGCTAACATCTACATGTGATGCTGAGCTGACATAATTGAAAGAACTGAAATCCAATGGATAAAGGGGCAGGCCAGGGACAGTCAGGCTGGGAAGACATGTGTTGGATAATGCTGGATGTCCTCCAGCCAGGAAATGTGGCAGGCTCTATCTGACCAGATGTATCTTCTAATGCACACTGTGAGAAGCACAGTGTGTGCAGTAAAATCAGACTAAGCAATTTAAGGAGAGCATTTAGAGGAGGAGCCATTACTGTCAGATTTAACAGTAATAAATGATGCTCAGTATGCAAACAGGAATCACTAAACTCGTATTACTTTAGATCAAGGTGTGTCCATTGGGTCGATCACGTTCTACCAGTCGATCGCAAAGCGAACACTGGTAGATCGCAATCAGCTCACTGACCTGAGCTCCCTAGTGTGGCTGAATGTATCAGAAGCCGAAGACGGGAAGGGGTGGGACACCTCTCCCAGTGTGCAACGTCGGCCACACAAGCACCGCGGGAGGACAGGACGCCGGCGCATGAGAGGAGTTTGGGAAGCGGCTGCAGTGGAGGTAAGAAAAGACAGACAGGAGAGAGACAGAGAGACACAGTGAGAGAAGAGACAGCAGAGAAAGTGGGAGAAGAGACAGCAGAGAGAGAGAGAAGAAAGACAGCAGAGAAAGTGAGAGAAGAGACAGAGAAGAGACAGCAGATAGAAACAGGGGAGAGAGCGAGGAGAGAGAGCGCAAGGCGAGAGAGAAGAGAAAGCCAAGAGAGAGGGCCAGTTCACACCACAAAGTCTGCATTCCTGAGTGTTCGGCCTCTTGAACGCACTGGAACGCAAGCCAACTGGCTTCCTGCGTTCAGGGGGCGGGAGCGGGTGTGGCGGTGCATTGAAGTCAATGCACCACTACACCCCCTCCTGCCCCTGAATGCAGGTGTTTTTTCGTTGGAAGATCTCATTGAGCTCGTCATTTGAAAAGTAGATCTCCAGATGAAAAATTGTGGGCGCCCCTGCTTTAGAGGAACACCTTATAACAAAGTTCTTTCAGAAACAGGACATTCTGTTACCAATATACGATCATATAGCAATCTCTTAGGCACATCTGTCCTATACTTCTTGCATACAATGGATAGTTGATTTCCCAACTCTTTCCCAGACATTGATCCAAATTATTTCTCTGACAGTTCTAGGCTTTCACACTGA